CATAAACAGAAAACAAAAACAATCACAGATATATTATCTGTGATTGTTTTTGTTTTCTGCAAATTGAATTCACATTCCGGGTTGGTTCATTCCATGCTAGAAGAAAAGATAAAAATGATTCACGCTCCTTAACAATGTGTATTGTATAATTTTCTTTGAATAAATGTTATACATAAAATATTTGAGTATTTTTTCCGGCATGGAACACATTGTATTTTACATGACAAACTGGTGTCAGAAAACTTCCAGGACAAAGCTCATAAAAAATAGAAAATTGCAATTATCAGGTAATGATCCTAGCTCCTGTCAAAGAACTCCCCTCGGCTATCTATACACAATTGCCAACGTCTCTCGAGGTTTTGGAAGCAAGCAGAGAAAGCTTTAAGTGTGATGCTTGTTAGTTCATTTTTCACAGCCCATTGGATGGTTTATTTGATATCTTGATGAAATGCCCCTTTCAGTTGCTTTTTCACTTGCAGAAACAAGAAAAAAAATCACACTTTCTGACAAAGGGTTGCAGCTGAAAGAGAAATTTCGTCAAACAGCTGAAAGGGACATTTTGTTCGATATCGCAGACATCAAATGAGCTAACAAGCATCACACTTGAAGCTTTCTCTGCTTGCTTCCAAGACCTCAAGAGACGTTGGCAATTGTGTATGGATAGTCGAGGAGAATACTTTGACAGGAGCTAGGATCATTACTTGGTAATTGCAATTTTCTATTTTTTACAAGCTTTGTCCTGGAACTTTTCTGTAATAACTGACTATTATGTTAAGTTATAGCAGCCAGATGGCTGAGGTGGTAAAGGTGTCAGATTGTCACTCTGGGAACTCGAGATGCATGATCGAATCATGGTGGAGAACTCCAAGAATTTTACATGAGCAGTCTTTCCTGGATATGTCAAGTTTTGATTTTATCACTCATTGTGGTTTAGTTGAATCTTGGATGGGTTTGGAAAAAGTTCTTTAATACCCACAGATAACAAAGAAAAATAAATAGAAAAAAAGATATTATATAATGTCTAATGTTTATTGCAATTTTGATTGAAACATCTTTACATTAACATTCATGGTTTACTGAGTAAATTTCATTATTCATCTTGTAGGATGAAGGTGAATAGATAATAAATTTTGATTTGTTTTAAACTATGTAAAATTCTAGGAAAATTTTTTATACATTTCTTGATCATATATTTTTGAGAATGCATATCTTCAAGAAAATGTGAGAACTCGGACGCATGTGTGAATTTTCACACTTGGTGTACTGCATCACATCGAAGGTGACTTTAATCGTCCAAAGAAGGACTCCCCTCACACTAGGGGATCGTTCAAGTCTCACGTAGATATAAGGTATAGAGAGTAATCAAAAGGTCACTGATGAAGCTAAAACGAAATCCCATGATCCCCTCTAAGTCCGAGTGAACTGATGAGAAAGTCGATCTAAATGACCAAATAAGGCAATGATTTTTCTAAGGGGGTGAGACGTAGTCTGACATGAGTCACCTCACGTCAATAAATCAGGGAGTTTGACAAATTTATGATGGGAAGATGTCAATTATTGGAAGGAAAGGATGACGATAACATAAACACAGCTATACGCAAGTCGAGCTGGCGATTGTATCAGATTTTCTTCCCCCATGATTCCCCCGAGATAAGTATAAAAAGGGGTCGAATTTGCACCTCCAGGCGGACAGCTGAAGAGGACCCCGCCAGGTAAACACCCTCAGCGGATAGCCGAAGAGGACACCGCCAAAGCAACACCCTCAGCAGACAGCCAACAAGGATCTCTACAGTCAGAGATTAATGGAGTGTACACCCTCTTCGGACATGGCCAAGTGGACATCCAGGGACTTCAGTTCCATACCGCCATATTGTCCATTGCTTCATATCGCCATCCAAGGGAACTTTGATTAGAAACTGCCGATCCCAGTGCATCCTACCAATGCCCTATACGAAGAGATCACATCCTATGAGGTAAACCCTTGCCTATGAGGTAAAAAAATATTGTCTCTCTCTCCAACACGTCCCTCTTAGAGAGGTCTCTCTCGATCTATAGTTTAGGTTAGAACATAGATATAGAATAGATTCCTTTTATTATTTACACGTGTGTTATTTATGCTTTTTCCTTTGATATGTATAATCTCTTAGTTGTTTATTAAATGTTTTGTTATGGTTCAACCTGTGTAGTTATTTGGACACCTCGTCACGACCTCACGACCCCTCCCCACTCATTTTTGCCCTCCTAAGCCATCTGACAAACCGAGAGCAGGTTTTGCCAACCCGTGCAGAGTAAATGGTCATTAGAGATCAACCCAGTGGCCCCCTGCTACCTCACAAAAGCATAAATGTTAGATGTGTAAACTAAGAATTAGATTAATTTATGAATATAAATATTACTTTTATAAATTAACAAAATTCAATTCTTTTTATCTTTTTGTCCTTACGTTTTACATTTCTGTGTATATATTGTCTACTTGGATTTTGTTTATTAATATGACTTATTATATAACACTCACCAAATAAACCATCACTAGTTCACCCAGTTTTTTGAAATACAGTATAATGACTTATTATACTGGTGAAGTTTCTGTTTAGCAATGAGAGGAAATCTTAGTCAAAAAAGTCAAAACAAAATATCTTTATTTTTACCTGATGTTTTTGACTAAGATTTCCTTTCATTGCTAATCAGAAACTTCACCAGTATAATAAGTCATATTAATGAACAAAGTCCAAGTAGACAATGTATACACAGAAATGTAACAAAATTCAACCTGTGATTTCTAAAAATTCACATGTACTTTCAACAGCTTACAGCTGTCATCCTCAGGCGAAAATTGAATACTATAAATTTCGAATGCTTAGCTTTTTACAAATCACTGCTTGTAACTCCGCAACACCGATGTGTTAATCATATATTACTCTACGTTGGCGTGAAGTGTAAGTTTGTTTATGTTTATTATGAAAATTCAACCTTTACCACTGTACATTTTATTTTATTATTCCATATTAAACATTTACATTATAAACAAAAACATATATTTTCGAGTTATCAGCAGTATGTGGTAGTAGATTATCGAACAAAGAATAACATATTTTAGTAGCAGTACAATGTTTTCTTTATTCAGATCCAAATTATCTTAATATTTTGGCTTATATTTTATAATGCTTTTGTTTTATAAATTTTTAAAATAAATTTATAACACAAAATATAAATTTTAATATATGAACTGTATGACTGCTCAAAGAAAAAAAAACTAAGATTTAACAGAAAAATTGTTGTGAAATTTGACTCTCTGTGCTCTTTAGTTTGAGTAACTTTAGTTGGTTAATGCATTCAATTTTTTTATCAGAATTCATTGTTAGGTTATTACATATTTTTCATCTGTTTCGATTTTATTCTTTGCTTCTGGTTTAAATATTAGAATACTTATACTGTGAATTGTTTTCTGATCAACTTCTAATTTATTTCATGTCTATTTACAAATACATTACTTATTTATTATTAAAAAAATATTAATACTTTTTAAATGTATTGTATTCATAAACTCTCTTATTAAGTGAATTTAATTAATTTAGGATATTTTAGAAGCTGATATTGGCAACTTAATCATTGTTGCCAGTCGTCATTTGGAGCATCTTGCTTTACAACCATCTCTAACAAAAAACAGCCTGTTTGTATCTCTTTCATTTGCTCAATGTTGTTTTTCAAATTTGAAATCTCTTCAATTAGGATACATAGATGAACTTCCTTCAGAAGGTAAGTTACATAATTCTTAGTTTGATATTAAATTGAATAGTGATCAGTTGGTTTATAACTGACTAAGATTTGTTTTCATTGTTTTTTTATATTAAAACTAATTATTCATTATTCAATAAATGTAAAGATATGTTGTATGACAATATCATATACAGGGTGTAACAGGAAAGATGGCCACAACTTTAAGGGGTGATAAAACATGGCAAAAGTAAAAATTGATGATTGATAAGTCATGATACAATGATCAAAAGTGGTTTTCTGAAAGAGGGCACTTGCTAGTGAGAAGGGCCACATTTTGCACACATCATCATTCAGAAGTTGTATGACTGCAGAGATGCAACAGTATTCAAATGCTGAGAAGGTGAATATGTATTTTGAGATGCCTATTGATTCTACTGAAGACCTTGTTACCAGAAGTAGTGCTGCAGCTGGAGAAGTACATGACATGCTGGGTATCTTCCAAAGCAGGGGTGTCCAACCTTTTTGTTCCTCTGGGCCACATTGCAAGGAGTCATGTCGTTTTGAGCCACATGTATGTATAATATATTTGCGACCTAATCCTTAAATATACAAGTATATTTAAGGATTAACATGTCTAGTTTATAGTAATAAGTATTAAAACTTTATTATGAAAAAGGATATTTTAAAAAATTACTTCTACAGACACTTTCAATTTTTACTTAGAAATAGATAAATTCATTTATTATAAAGAAGTCAAACAAAAATTTATTTGAAAAACACAAATATTTGTTATTTGGGTCTTTAATTAATAAAATAATGACAAAACACCATTTTAAAGTGCATTTTTATTTGACTAATATATTTATAAATAATATGCAGCCTAGTAAGTAATCAATGTGCCAAATGATAATTTTTACACCAAACTAAAAAAGTGTAGCCAAATCTTGCAATGCTGGAAGGAATACTAAATAATGCTGGAGTTGGAACTCAAAGGATTTATAGACCCAAATTTGAGAAAAGAAGAGAAAGGCCTTTAGTAAGGGAGGTTGGAAAAATAAGGGTCAATATTTGCATAACAGAAGCTCTATTTAACCTTTCTCACTACTATTTATCTTTTGGCCTTTTTCTTCTTTTCTCAAATTTGGGTCTATAATCCTTTGAGTCACAACTCCAGCTTTATATAGTATTCCTTTGTCATTCACACATTTCCAAGTATTTGAAAATATTTCCTTTTCACTCAAAAATAAAATATGTATCAATATAAAAGTTTACGGCTTTGTGAAACTTCTTTTTTGAGTTTATGCCGTTGAAATAAAAAAATAAATAAAATAAAACAATTTGTCGGTTTTGTTTACACATTTATTGGGCTGCATTGGAACTTGCCTTGGGCCGCATGTGGCTGGTTGGACACCCCTGTTCCAAAGTGTACTCCAATCACTCTGTTGCGATTGTGATGCATGTCTTGCAGTTGGTGGTCATTCATTTGAACAATTCTTGTAAATATGAAACATTATTTCTTGTAGATTTCTGTGGTTAAAACAACTTTTTGTTTTGCATTATCTTTGTAGTTACTGTGTTTCTGTGTTTGCATTTTACATTCCACCACACATTGTATTATGACAATTGTTACTTTTGCCATGTTCTATCACCCTTAAAGTTGTGACCATTTTTCCTGTTAAACCCTGTATATTTTGCAATTATATTTTCATATTTTATAAATCTTTTTAACAGTTTATCATTTATTTTTTGAAATAATCTGTTTTCAAAATATAACATTTTATATTTTTTTGAAATTTTTAGTTATTTATTTAACTAAAATCTTTAGTTTAATTAAATAAACATTTAAATTTGTTTTAGAATTTAAATAGTTTGTTGTTTATAAATGGTAGTCTTTTGTTTTGTCTATTGTTTTACTCAGAAACTAATGGGAACAGTTGCTCAATTATACCAAAGGATTCTAAATTTTCTAAATTGCACTAAAGTAGCTTAGTTTGTCTCAATTGTTCAGAAACCAGTGTATTTGTTATAATGCAATTGTGATGTAAATAGAATAACATAATAAAACAATACTCTCTATTTTAAGTTTATGAAATAATAAAAAGAAAGGTTTAATTTCTTTAATCAATTAAAGATTCTTAATTTAGACTAAACAATTTATTCATTTATGTACTGTACTTATTCAGCATAGAGATGCTATCATATTTAGTTGCTTGTTTCTATTTTGAAGCACTATATTAAATTTTTGACCGAATTATATTATTTTTATGTTATGAAATTTGAACAATATTTTATTTATTAATGAAATTTTTGAGAATGTAATTTATGTTACAGGTGATTGGTCAGAAGAAATGTTAGAAGGGATTGGTTTGACAGAATCAACTGATTTACCATGTTTGATAACTGATACAGGGATGAAAGTTATATCTCAGATTTTTCCTAATCTGAAAAGTCTCTCAATAAATAACTGTATTCATGTAACAACACCACATTTATGGTGTCCTGAAGGTAAAATAACTTTTGTTTATCATCAAAATAGTAATAATTGTTTTTAACTTTTTGATTAAGTGTTTTAATTAATTCACAGTTATTTATTAACACATATTTCTTCATTATAAAATATTTAATACTGGCTGGTTAAGTTATTGTAACATATATTTATTTTATAGTTTTAATTTTTTTATTGTAGTAACTGTAAATAACAACTCTGTAATTATTTCATTTTATGATGATGTTGCAAAATTACAATTTTGAATTTTTTAATTTTTAATAAAATAAATTAGTATTAAATTTATAACATTAATTTATATACAGTAGACCCCCCTATAAAACAGGTTTGTATAGTTCAGATTCTTATATGACAGCGGAAAAATTGCAACCATATTCATATAAACACGCTAAAAGAGACTTGTATAATTCAGTAAAACGTCATCACCGATTCATGTCGTAACAGGATTGGTTGAATCCAGACCAATAGCGGATATTGCACAAACCATTGAGTTTAAACAAGTAGCAGACTTACTAAATTTATTTATTCATTTATTATTTAACAGCCATAAAAATTATATTTATATTAATGATGTCTCCAAAGTTCAGCAAAGTTTTCACAGAAAAATAATTTATCAGGAAGCACGCGAGTGCCATTCGATGCACCACTCCATGACGAAAACAAGCTTAAGCAATGGCGTCGTTGAACAGTGCACACTCGGTAAGTAATCCTACAATTTTTTGTTTATAGCATAGTTTATATGGATTATTCCCAAAAAATTATACGTGTTTTGGAAATGTTGAGTCAAATTAGTCAAGAGTCGATTAATTTTATGGAAGAAAACCTTTCAAACAGCCGTAGTCTCTAAACTGCATATGTGCTGGGCTGTGATTGGCTCATGTATTTAAGGACTCATTGAACATCAATTTCATAAAGAACAGAACTTATCTACCATGTTATAGGGGGGTCGACTGTATTACTACTAAATTTTTATGGTTACAAATATTCTATTGTAAGAAATTATAAATGATTAATAAAATTGATAATATAACAAGCATTTGATTACTTTAAAAACTTTTAAAGATGAAATTAAATGTATTTAGTAATGCTGCCTTGTTCTACATAATGCTGCTGCTATATTAAAAACTATAATAACTTTCTTTTATACATATGATAAATATGGCATAAAATCTGTATATTTTATTCTTAAAGATTGAAATACATAATATCTATTATCTTTTTCTATATGAAAAAATTATTGCCAATATGCATATATTGTGAGTAAAAAAGTTCTGCTTTAGGAAAAATGTAACTATGATGAAAAACAATGTTTAATCATATATGTTATAAATGTACAGTACACTTTTATCTTGAAGCNTCCATGACGAAAACAAGCTTAAGCAATGGCGTCGTTGAACAGTGCACACTCGGTAAGTAATCCTACAATTTTTTGTTTATAGCATAGTTTATATGGATTATTCCCAAAAAATTATACGTGTTTTGGAAATGTTGAGTCAAATTAGTCAAGAGTCGATTAATTTTATGGAAGAAAACCTTTCAAACAGCCGTAGTCTCTAAACTGCATATGTGCTGGGCTGTGATTGGCTCATGTATTTAAGGACTCATTGAACATCAATTTCATAAAGAACAGAACTTATCTACCATGTTATAGGGGGGTCGACTGTATTACTACTAAATTTTTATGGTTACAAATATTCTATTGTAAGAAATTATAAATGATTAATAAAATTGATAATATAACAAGCATTTGATTACTTTAAAAACTTTTAAAGATGAAATTAAATGTATTTAGTAATGCTGCCTTGTTCTACATAATGCTGCTGCTATATTAAAAACTATAATAACTTTCTTTTATACATATGATAAATATGGCATAAAATCTGTATATTTTATTCTTAAAGATTGAAATACATAATATCTATTATCTTTTTCTATATGAAAAAATTATTGCCAATATGCATATATTGTGAGTAAAAAAGTTCTGCTTTAGGAAAAATGTAACTATGATGAAAAACAATGTTTAATCATATATGTTATAAATGTACAGTACACTTTTATCTTGAAGCATTTGTAGTATTTTTCAAAGTGTTTTGTATATCTCTATCTTCACTTTCTTTCCTATTTCTTGTTTTGGAATAGTGTCTGTTGCTAAATGATGCCCTTGTAGTAACTGTGTTTGTACTTTACCTTTAAAAAACATTATTATTATTGTTTCTGTGTACCTTGTTTCTTGACAAGAATGTAGCAGGGACAGACAATTACCAGAACAGTACTGTCCATTCATCAAAAAATGGTTTTTGACAAAAAGGATCATTACCTCATTTGCTCTTTATGTCAACTCTAGTCGGCCCATGGCATTTGTTGTTGTTGATAGAGCAGCTCAGTTCATTTCGTTAGTTTTTATCATGCCAGTCATCAGTCTTTCTACCTGAACATATAGAATTTTTCTTACTGAGCAACTGCTAGTACTACATACTAGGTGGCTTCAACCAGCACAGAGAAAGGCTCTTTTATGGGTCACTTTTAGGCCTATTCTGTAATTTCTAATCCTTGAATATAGGTTATAACAGGCAACTTCCATTTGATCTTTACTTGTAATATATCACTGCCAGATTTCTGATCAGCAGAAGAAATTATATTAACATTAGATCACTTTATTTCTCTTCTCTCTTCCACTTCAGCAATGTTCCTCATCCTGCTGCTTGAGCTGCCATTCCCACTCTAAACTTTAATCATACTGACTATGTGGTTCCAAGACTGAGGAAAGCCTAGGTTGTGCCTTTTGTGATATACATTGATAATAGGGAAGTGTTCTTGTGGTCTAGCTCCCTGCATCCAGTCTGTACTGTGTATCAGATTGAGCTCTTTGCTATACACAGTTTTATTCTGTGATATGGAAGGACTCCCGAGGGCCTTAGTGTGTGTATCTATTCTGACTTCTCCTCTACTGTCTTGGCTCTTCAGAATGGGGGGCAACTTGAGTTTTTTTGTCAGGAAGACCCTGGATACTGTCATCTCTTCTAGGAACTGCTACTTCCTTGATTAGGTTAGAGGACATCAGGGCATCCTAGGGAAAAGGCTGACATTCTTGCAAGGACAGATACCATTGCTGCTTGTAGTCCTTTGTATACGATATCCTTCATACAAGAATCGCAAAGCACCACATCTGGCAAGTGAAGATAAACATGTGGCAGCAAAGATGGGAGTCTGAAGCTTGTGGTGAGATTATTAGGAACTTTATTCTGGACATTAAGGAGTATTGTGCAGTTCCTTTCTAAATATGTCCAGTTTAAATCCTATCTATATAGGTTCTGGAAGAAGAACACTATGTTATATCCAATCTGTGAGTGTCCCAATTTTGTTTGGAACTACATCTTTGACTGTTTGAATGTTATCAGATATTACACAGACTCTTAGAACTATACTCAATATGAGTAATAAGGCTTCCTGGCCATGTGTGTTAAACCATCTTCTAAAAAACAAAGATGTGTTTCAATATTTAGTTAAACTTATTGAACTTTATAACATAAGGACTACAATTTGCAAACTGAATTTCATTTGTGTGTGAAATCATCATGAGTGCTTTGTATATTCAGTTGCTCTTCACAGAGTAGATGTTTCAGATTTATGTTCTACATCTTTTCTTTTTATTTTATCTTCTTTGTAATATATATATATTACAATATATATATATTGCCAATTTTTATTTGTGAATTCACATATTCTCTGTTCTAATGTACAGTACTTACTTTCTCACTTTTGTATCTATGTTCATATTTTGTAAACAGTTGTGTGACACATTATAACCTGCACTCTACCTGGTTATGCATAAGTAAACCAAGAAGAAAATAAAGGTAAACTGAAGGAATGTATTACATACTACCTATAGATACTTTCATGCTATCTGCCAGTATGACATACTAGTGCATTCCTGAAAAATAGCACAACATATTTAACTCTTATGCTACGACATTGTTTTAATTAATATTTTAAATAAGAATGAATTTTCTTATGTTTTTATTTTCTTGATATACAAGTAACATGAAATAATTAATTTTTTACTTGATAATGCATTCAAATTGAAATTCTTAATCTAATGGTGTTCCACACATTCAATATTTGCTGAAGTGTTTGTCATATAGCAAGCACACCCTAGTATTAGTTTATTGTTCAGATGACAAATGTTTGTCTAAGATCTAGAAAATGGACAATTTTCAAACAATAATTTGTACCAATGCCTTTGTTATTAGTTATTAGTTCATATCTGTTAATGAAAATAAGCAAACCAGTTAGGTTTATATATTTCATCTGCCCCTACCCTACTTTTAACATTCTGCTTTACTTCGTTGTAATATGTTCTAAATGATGCCATTAATGAGGCTTTTTTTTCTTTAATTTGGTGACAGAATATTTTCCACTTTGATTACCATTTCATTAGACCATTCCATTTTGAAAATAATAACAAAAGCAAGAAAATACATAAATGCAAGCATGAATATCTTTATATTGACTTAGTATTTTCACATCTTATTTTTCATATATTTGAATGTGAATATGTAATTGTTAATTTCAAATAAAATTTATTTTGAAAGTATTCTAAAAATTTAAAATGTATTATCAATATAAAATTAAATTTTTTCAGCTTGAAATTAATTTATCGAAAAATAATACATTTTATTAGAAAGATATTTAAAGTTAATGACAATAAAATTTATTTATTTTTTAGTATCAAATTTTTAACTTTATATATTTACAGTATACTGCAGTGTAAAAATTGAAAAACTTAATATTTCTAGAACAAAATATAACATTTTATTAATATTATGTAACACTGAAAGTATAGTGATTTTTATGTATTTTAAATAATAAATAATGAACTTGTTTTAATCTAAAATGTTTTAAATGAAAAGACATTTAAAAAATTATTTTGATTGTAAAATTTTAATTCTAGGAACCCTGCCTTGGAAGCATTTAACCGATCTTATAGTGCGTCACTGTACTCATCTTCATCTTTCATCTTTTATCCATTTTATAGAAAGTTTATCATCGGTAGAAACTTTAATATTAGAAGATGTGTTTAGAGAAGCACCAAATACATATGATCATGTTTGCTGCAAGGAATATGTGGTGCATGATGATTTACTAGAAAAACAAAGAGAAGGTAACTTTGAAGATTTGCAAAATACAAGAGTGGATTTATGTGATAATATACAAAAAACTCCAAAAAATGATTACAATGAAGTACAAAATATAAAAAGACAAAGTAAGAAGAGAAAATTGAATAATTCTGATGAAAATATTTATCATGCTTCAACTAGTGGAGTTAATTCTTCAGAAGAACATATAAAATCTGATGCCAAGGATAAACATGGAACTGAAGAGAAAAGCAATTCTTGTGCCTTTAACAAAAGACAATGTAAATACAATCCTGATAATTCATTAGACATTCCATATGATCCAAGCAATATGACATTTTCTCAGGATGAATCTTCAGAAAGAAATTCAAATAAAAGATATCTAAGGAGTGAATCATCTCAAACAACGAATAGTTTTATTAGACAGTGTTTCCCTCCATCTCATTGCAGAGAGGTGCATAATTGTATGATGTGTTCTTCAGATTATATAAGGTAAAAATTAATTAATATTATGATAAAAATAATGAAGCAGTTTTTATCTTTCTATAGTATTATCAATTTTTTTTGTTATGTATTGAAAATTTTTGATTTTCAATACATAACAAATATAATTATATAATGCTTAATTATATTAAACAGATTATATATAATAATTATAATATAATTAGAATTAGGTCGTTATCCTGTCTTAGTGATAAAACCAATGTTTTATTCAAAATTACAAGTATTTTCAATAGTTTACAACTATCCTTTTCAGGCTGATTTGATTAGACTTGTATTGAACAAAATTTTTCATATAAAAATATGAAAAATCTTGAAATTTTAAATAAAACATTGATTTTAACACTGTAAGACAGAGTTTGTTATATCATAACATTACATTAGATCATTATTTGGCATGAGGTGCAATTAACTTTCTTATGTTGTTATTGAAAAATATATATTAATCTTTTTAATCTAATTTTTTCCAGTGAAGCAAACATTATTCAGAGCAATGAAGAAATCATTAATGTAGATAAATCAACTGATACATGTGACTTAATTTTGCAAACTAATTGCAATCAGGTTAGTATGCTTTTAATTAAATTTAAATAAAAAAATAAAATAGGAGTCTTGATAT